AAACGACCTTGATAAAATCAGCTGTCTTGCCTGAGAAGTAAAATGTTGCTGACATTTCTTACTCATTAATCTCAATGGTGGAAAAGTAAACTGAGCATTTACAAGAAGTAACGACACATTTAAATTCGTACTGCCTTTTCTGCTCGAAACATATATTTTTTTATAAATGACCAAAAATCTTTTACAGTATATTGCACTATACTTTCACCTGGTTTACAAATGCTATTAATTTTATCTTTCAGCCGAACACCAAATTTTCTGAGTTCTCTTGACAGTCTGTCAAAAATGTGATGAAAGTGTGTGAAGGTTTTCTTTGTACGTGTTTTAAAATGTTCACGTTTTCATTGTAATTTTTTTTTACAATTAAATATTTAGAAAACCATTGAATTCGTTTTTCTAAATGCTTCTGACAGCATTTTGAAAGGCCTCAACTTCAGGTTGTGTGCAAATGATGTTACAGTGACCTCGTTAGCTGGATAGAAGAAATGGACACACGAATCGGTTTGACAGTTTATGTAGCAGCTCTGAGAAGAAAATTAAACATCTGGTGTGATTCTTTCATAAACCCCAGACAGGCAATCCTCAAAGCTGTAGTGAAAACAGCTGCACATTTTCATCCTTCTTCCTCTCCTTCATTGTCAGCTTCCTTTGTTGCATGTTTTAATTTTTTTCCTGTGATCCGACTCTATTCCTCATCTTTAATTATTACCGTACCTCTTTCCTTCTCCTCCTTCTGCTCTGACTGCGTTGGCTCAGATAGAGTTCTCTAACGTAACTAGGCTGTCACAATCATGGTCTCCTGTGATAACATGGCACCAGAGGCGGGACCCAACAGCTGGCTCTGTCTCAGCACAACGAAAGAGCTTTGTTTTTCATTTTTCTTTTAAACCACACAACATGACATTCTGGCTTATTAAATTTTTATACATTTTTAACCAGAAAGTCTTAGTGGTGACAACTTGAGTAGACGTGATCCCAGAGGAGTGGAATGACAACAGAAATGTAAAAAACCGGATCACGGCACAGAATGTTTATTTACATGCATAAGTGGCTGTTTGGGTAGCTGTTTGTGTGTTTTTAACTTGGCAAGGATTCAGACATTAATGCAGATGAATAATGAGATGATTATTATACTTGTTTGCATAACAAGAATTTCATATGCCTATTCATTATAAACGTAGCTTGCTTTGGGAAGCACAGCAGCTAACAGTCCCAATTCAGACAACATGGGAATTTAATGACAAATGGAGGTTTTTAGCAGATGACATTTAGAGCAGTCCAAATAAAGCCCCTGATTCTGCCTCCTCCGGAACTGGAAACCCGCATTACCCAAGGAAACGAGAGGCCGCTATGTCCAAATGTTTTTTTTTCCATGTCCAAAATGTGCGTAAGCCAGGTCCTTAAGTAACTTAAAGTCGCGCACATTTTTCTGCTGCGTTTTCTTTTATAAATCCCAAAGTTTGAGTGGAAAGTTGCTTACACAGTTTTCCGACCCCGTTTTGTTTCGTAAGCAAGCTTTATAAATGAGGCCCCTGGTTTTTCATGATTAATTCTTAGTTTTGTACAGCAGGCTTCAGCAACGCTACATTGAATCTAAATTCAGTCCAATGAAATGCAAGGCCTGGGAGTTTCCACATAACCCACAGAGTGGACAAAATTGTTGGTACCCTTTGGTCAATGAAAGAACAACCCACAATTTTCAGACATTGCTTTTCAATCATCAAGGATAAAAATGATGGTACCCCTAGAAAAGACTGCAAATAAAGTGACCAAAGGGTCAGGTTAATTCAAGGTGTGCCCACTAATTAACGTCACAGGTGTCTACAATCCTGTAATCAGTCAGTGGGCCTAAAGGGCTTCAGGAAGTCATTGTGTTTAGTGAAATGGTGTGTACCACACTCATCATGTACCAGAGGCAATGAAGGAAAGAGTTGTCTCAGGAGATCAGAAAGAACATTATAGACAATCATGCTCAAGGTAAAGGCTTTAAGACCATCTCCAAGCAGCTAGATGTTCCCGTGACTAAAGTTGCACATATTATTCAGAAATATAAGATGGGACATTAGCCAACTTCCCTGGACGTGGCTGCAGGAGAAAAAACTGATGACAAATCATACAGATGGATAATCTGAATGGCAATGAAAGAGCCCAGAAAAACTTTTAAAGAGATCCAAGGTGAACTTCAAGCTCAATGAACATCAGTGTCAGATAGCACCATCCATTGTTGTTTGAGCCAAAGTGGACCACACAGAAACGACCAAGGAGGACACCGTTGTTGAAAACAAATCATAAATAAGCCAGACTGGAATATGCCAAACTACATGTAAACAAGCCACAAAGCTTCTGGGAGGATGTTCTATGGACTGATGAGACAAAAATGAAACTTTTTGCCAAGACACATTAGCTCTATGTTCACAGATGGAAAAATGAAGCACGTCAAAAAAAGAAAACTGTCTCTACTGTGAAACATGGAGGAGGCTCTGCTATGTTCTGGGCTGCTTTGCTGCATCTGCCACAGGGGGTCTTGAATCTGTGCAGGGTACCATGAAATCTCAAGACTATCAAGGGAGTCTAGAGAGACATGTGCTGGCCAGCGTCAGAAAGCTGGGTCTCAGTTGCAGGTCATGGGTGTTGCAACAGGACAATGACCCAAAACACACAGCTACAAACACCCAAGAATGGCTAAGAGGGAAACAATGGACTATTCTAAAGTGGCCACGTGAGCCCTGACCTCATTGGCCTTCGTTGACCCAAGAATACCAACGGTTTTGTCCACATCTGTAAGTTCTGGCTATAAAGATGAGCTAACAGCTAGCAAAAGCAGGGCCAGGTCCAAAGTCAAAGTTTTATTGTTATGTTATTAGAACACCTCTAATCTAAAAAAATGCCATTGTGGTTAATACAAATGCCATATGATATACACAGCTGTTAGTTGTATGGCAGCACAAAGGGTTTTTTAAACAACATTTGCAAGGACTTCAAGGCAGTTCTATGACACAATCAGAACCGTACTTAGAGCCAACATGTTATGCAATGACACAAAAATGGGATAATTGATTTATGTATCCTTTATTTGATCAGGAAACACAGTTTATTACAGATTAATACATGACAAGTTTGACCAAAACCCATAAAAACATTCATCAAAATTACATAAATAGGACACCAGATGTTCTGTTATGATTCAAATTATTTGTCCCAGTGTATTTATATTAAATTCATGTGTTTAGTTTCCTTTCCAATCTTTAACCATCTCTGTTTATTACATCGATCTAGTTCTTAGTCAAATGGAACCACTTTCTATTTTGCGAGTGTGGGACCAACGCCTGCAACATATTCATTAAAATCTTCCATAATATCTTTTTGAGTTTTTAATTCATGACCTAAACTATGTAGAAAATGGTTTGGCCTTTCAGGTGTGAAGAACTTTTTGTGGATTTTACTATTTAATACTTTTCACATCCTACGAATATTATTTATATTGTTTTCTAATGTTTCATCACAGTGTTGCTTTTTCTGACTCTCGTAACAACAGATAATGTGTTATTGTGTTTTATATATTTATCTTTCTTTTCCATAGTTTTTCTCAGTTTTAGACATTTGTCATAGAATTTCATTATCTTTTTTACATACAGACCCCTCCTCATCCACGACTTCCTTTTATTATCTAAAAGAGACATTTTTATTTCATAATTCTGAGAAAATGAACACGAATACATCATTGGCTTAATTAGGATCCTCTACACAAACCAATTAAAATCTAAAACAAAATTAACGTATTTAACGTCCGTTAACCAAGCCTGCATGCCTCTCATACATTAGCAGGAACTGACTTAGTATGTGGGCCATTGGATGAGTTGATGAGCCTTGGAGAGGTTAGTTGTATTCAGCCACATCAGGTAGAGCCAAACACCCTTTAGTGGTCAAAGACCTCCGCGCGTTCCTCACAGCTGCAGGTGTTTCATCTGCTTGGCGTTTGAACGGCAGTGTCGGACTGGGAGAGTGATGAATGAGAGACGGCACCAGTGACAGATGATGGAAGCAGTCAGTCCTCCACTCATCACTCTGGCAGGATCCCTCAAGGACAATCCCTATAGCCCAGAAACTCCCGTTTGAACGCTCTGAGAAAGTTTGCAGTGTTTTTGCATGATATAGATGAAAGTTTCCATAAGCCTGTCATAGTCTCAGCGTGTCAAAATACTGTCAATATTATTTTATTATTAAAATGCGTTCCGTCGCCCATTGCGTTGTCGTGATGCAAACTATCCCTTCTGCGGTTGCCATGAGTTCTGTTTTAAAATAAAATGGAAACAAGTTTTGGCTTGAAATGACTGGGTTATATTAATGCTGAGGGATGCCACTGAAGATGGTAGCCATCAGGCTGTGGCTGGACCGGCTGTTGGAGGAGGATTCAGATGAAAGCTGGAGTGCAGACAGCAGACTGCAGAGTGTGACTGGATTCAGAGTGGGCAGGCTGAGATGAGCGGCAGCCAGCAGCGTGCAGCCGAACAGGGCTGCCTCACAGCAGAAAAAGAAGCAGGACCTTGAGTAAATAAGCACGGCCAAGAATTTAAAGCAGCACACTGAATAGGTGCAGAATTTGACTTCTCACTCATGTTGTGGTTTCAAATAGTGAAGCTGACAGTCTTAGTAAATAGTGAACAGCAGAGCTCAGGGGTGCGTGAGCACTGCAGTGGCTTGATAAATGATGCCTTGCGGGAGTGGAGAGACCGAAGCATAATGCCTTCATTTACTCACATTTTCTCCCCTACATACAAAACACAGGGTGGCTAAAAAAGGAAAGAACATTCATGTCCCTGTTGAATCAGTAAAAAGAACATGTTTCACTAAAAGTATGGCGTCTAATTCTCCCACCGGTTTTGCAGTAGAGGTAAAGATAATGAACATTCTTTAGTTAAAGCTTCATAAAAAATGTTTTAAAATTAAATTCATGTTATTTTATCTTGATCTTGTTATTTTCTTTCTTTCCTGCTTCACAGGTGTGACTCTAACGACTAATGTGCGTCAGCTAGAGTTCAGCCTGGGTAAGTCCTCCTCACTCCGTTACTCATTGCATTTTCCTCACAAGGGAGCCCCTAAAAAGGAAGCTCTTCCAATTTCAAAGCGTTAAACAAAAGACAGATGTGTAACGTCCAGAAATGGTCCATTTTCACCTACATATTGACCTGCACAATGTCCGGTCATCTACAGACGTAATTCCACTATCTGAGTGGAGTTTCTATCCTGTCTTCTAAAGCCCAGAAGATTCTGCAGTCCTTGTTGACATTTCTGGGGGAACAAGATGTGAGCCTATGTTCCCAAACAAAGGCTTCTTTTGATGAGACTACAGGATTACACACTGTCATGAAAGAAGAACTTTTACAACTCATAAGTTAAATAATCATTAAATAATAATATGGTTGAATGAACAAATGTTATATGAATAATAATATTGATGTTTGAATAATCTGTGCCTAATTCAATGAAGATGAAATGAATTTTAGTATTACAATGAAACATTTTAGTGTTATGATCAGTAATGTTTGGTTTAACAAGTAAATCATTATCTACACTCAGACACAATGTTCATTAGAGATAGATTAAAGGTAAAGTAATTTCATGCACATAGATATGTTCTCAACCACAAATCAGAGAACCTTCTATCTGAAAGAAGGCGTGATGTTCTGAGGGCTGCTTGTTAACACCTCTTAGCATGGCACGTCCCGATTGGCCAGGTAATCATAACATGGGGATATTAAAACAGAAACTTGCTGAGTGATTCAGTTAGTTTTTGAGCAGAACTCCGGACTGGCCAGCGGGGGAAAACTCTCTAACCACTGCATCTCTCGACAAGCTGTCAAAACCTACACGCCACAGCTGACACAGTAAAACGGCTCCTTCAGCTATTCAGAAACAGCTGTTCTAGACGCAAACGATTTCATTTATTTGTTGTGATCCGGGAGACGACCTGGTCGTCCTGCGGTCTTTTCTACGAACTTCGGTACCTTGGGATCACCCGACCCCCCGACATCTCGGATCTGAAGGAGAGTCTCCTCAGGGGTATGTAGAACACAGCAAGATTGTGTCTGATGCCGTTTTGATAAGGACCAAGTTCATAGTTTAATGCAGACCAAATTATTTTCACACCCAGAACATAGTTTCTTCTAGATACAAGGTTCTGATAAACACACATCACATCACATCCCCTTATGTTCATCCATCACATTTGTCTTATTGAACTTTTTTAATTTGTTTAGAAAATAAATTTCTTACTTTTTATAAACCTGACTCTGTCTGAATTAATACGAAGTGTGTTTGATCCCTGAAAAAGCAAAGAATCCTAGAATCTTCTGATTAAACATTCAAAGACCAACAAGGTTGATATCCTACATTTATATAGAATATCACACCTTATGGGTCAAAAGTAAAGGTAATATATTAAGCTTAAAAGCAACATAATTACCCCTTCCACAGACGTGTTTACACAGTTACACACTTTTATTTTGAGAGGTGGAATCCTTCTTGCCTGTTAAAGAAACACAACAGTTAAAACTTTCTGTCCCCGATACAAATCCAAGGCCTTTAGGATTACACTTCTGCCACCAGTTCTTACTCAAATAATTGCAATTGTTGGCTTTTATTTTTATCGACACAAATTTGCAAACTACTGACCATAAATACGCTAAAGATATTTGAATCAATGCATACAGATTTCTACTTAGGATCACAGAGTAGGGAGATCATTTATCGACAAGGGTCAATCAAGTTTGTCTCATTAGTGTTGCTTTAGTGTGACCAGTATATTGTATACACACCATTTTAACACCAGTTGTTGCTCGTCGTTGTGAGAATTAATTAAGCAGTTGAGCCAATAAACAACTAACAATTTCACAGCATATTTTCAAATGTATGTGATTATTTAAACAGGTGCTGGTACTGGTCTCTGGGCATCCCTAGAAAACGTTAACTGTTTAGAATTGTTGTGTTTGGACCTGTTTCAACACGGTTATTGGTAGTAAAACAAAAATAAATCACAAAATATGGACACTGTTGTAAAACCAGAAATTTGTGTTTACCTGGCACGTTGTTTTCTTAGCTCTGGTTCAGATTGAGTTAAAGCTGAGCTTTATTTATATCTTATTAAAGATGTGGTTGACTGACTTTTTTAAAAAAAATTCTGATTATAAACGGTCTCTGAGTTTTTCATGCAGGGTGAACATAAAAATAGTCTCCTACACCTATCTCCTGCATTAGCTTGTGATAGAAAATAGATGGTGAAACTCAAGGATATGAAAATCCTCACAGATCTACATCACACTGTGAATTAGCATTCATGGACCCTTCCATCTTGACTCATGGCTATTGTTGGTTTAACGTCTACAGAGAGTGTCTTGGCTAGTTTAAGCTAACCTTAAGCTAATCTTTAGCATTAGCAATACCACCTCAGGACAGAAACTCCTCCATGCTTGAGTTTGTGGAGATAAAACATTGCTGAATCACTCATCTAAGTCTGAATCACTCAATTTTAATGAATTTAGTTTTTATTATGTTTAATTGTTTTTATGATGTGATTTTGTTCAGCACTTTGGTCGGCTCTCATGCCGTGTTTAAATGTGCTCTACAAATAAACTTGGTATGGTATGGTATTGCGTTGCTGTTATCCATAGGCGAGATGTCCAAATATCGGGAAATAAGACTCCAAAACCTGCTGTCTGAAGCTCAGCTGTGATGTGGGCAACTTTTAAGTCAGAGAAATGGTGCACCAGTATATCCCCCTCCCCCAAGAACAACTTACAAGGCATTCATTCCCACTAGAAACCGCTGCAAATGTATTGATTAGAGGATCCATCGCTACTGATACCTGCTTTTTGAAAATCTGACACCAAGCTTATAAATTTTACACTTGGAGAGAGGATTAGCAGTTTTGGTTTGCTTTTACCACCCCCTAGTGTCCAGCTAGTAAATCCAAAAGCAAAACTTATCTGCGTGCTGTACGTTTGTCTTTTTAACACCTTAATCTAGAAACTGAAATGTCTCCTCAGTCTTAATTAGTGTCCACAGGAGTGATTCATCACTAAATTTAACAAATCAGCTGTGGTCATGATGTAAAACATGCAAGAAGCATGCTGGCAGCAGACTGCAGCACTGGCATGTCAGCTCCACTTTACCAAGAAGAGGCGGCTTGCCACTCTGAAGTTGCATGTGTGATATTCTGGCCACAGGGTGCTGTGGTGGTCTGAGTAACATTTCATTAACCCTGTAAAAGATCGCTTTACCACATACTGGCTCAAGAAAATGTGAAATATGAAAATGTTGCATCTTATCCCTTTAAAGGTAAGAAAAGGTGACAAGGTCATCTTACTTTTTATTTCACATTTAGGACAAAACATGCAGATTAACACATCCTATTTTCCCCTTGGAAGAATGCTTAATATCTTATTGAGTAATGGGGAACTGCAGCATGCTAAGAATATTTTGCATCAACTAAAACAATTATTTGGTTCAATTTACCAACATTAGAGCAGGTTAAGGGAACTGATTAAATCAGAAGAAAAACACATGTCAGTTGTGTGAATTCTCTGCTTTTCCAGCTTTAGACGCTTCAATATTTTCTTTCTTTGTCAAGAATCAACTGTTACATAAGACTTTTTATCTTTAAGTAAATGTAAATTGTGTTTGTTTGTCTCTAAATCTTCCAGCTCATTTATTTCCATGCACTAGTGGAGAGAAAGAAAGATAAAGTCTTCTTGAAAAATTCAATTTATATTTATTTTATGAACGTGGTAATTATTTATCATGTGGTGACCCACAACCTTCACTCTACCTCAAAAAGATTCCTTTCATGGGAGCTGAGTTCTCTATTTGGGAATGCAAGTCCCTCCCTTTGAAAACCGAGTCGATGTAATGATTCGGATGCAGTTGCTCTTCTAACACTAACACAGTGAGAGATTTCTGAAAATAAGATGTGCATTTTATGTGTGTTGCTTCACTTTCTAATAAACATCTGTGTTTACAGTTTGCTGTTTAAGAACCCCAGAAAGAGGGATTTGCCTTGCAGCAACAACATGCTGCACGGTGGTTTGCACAAAAAGCTAAAATACAGTAAATCTCTGAAATGCATAACCAAATAAATAAAATAATATTGTTTTCTTGTACACAAAGAAAACAAATGTCTCTTCTAAGCCATTTGGGCTTATGATTAAATCTGTTGAACCTCTTTAATTAAAAATTCTGAATGTACTTTTGGCTTCTTCAGCATTTCTGACTAAAAGTATGTGATGCTCACATTGCATCAGGTTTGAAGGATGAAAACATCCACATGTTGCATCACTGAGTCATTTGATTTAAGATATTGAACTTTAACTATTTTTACCGTTAAGGTGCACAGACAAACCTTGGAGTAGCTACACTCTCCATGACCTATTAGAATGTGGCGGGACTGTAGCAAATATACAAAACCTCCTACAACATGAAGGAAATCATTATTTATCTATGCTTCTTGTTCTTGATAAATACTTTTTGCATCCCTAAGATGAATATAATGAATATATAATATACGTTCCCATGACGATGCAACCACATTTGCCTACAATCACACCCACATCAGGCCTAAAGGATAGACTTGTGTGTCAGTAGCTGATGTCACAGAGATCGAGGCGTGGTGCATGAAAATACCGTTTATAATGTAATGCTCTTCTTAGATTAAAAAGGCAGTAAATAACCTGAACACCATTTAATCCAGATTTTTTCTAAACCTAAATAATCAAGCAAGCCTATTTAGGAAAAAAGGCGGCCACTTCTGAGATGCACCTGGAAATTGCCGCATTGCTGTTGGTTAGAAACAGTCCATAGACTATAATGGATTCTGTCTGAAGCAGTGATGTGCCACGCTGCAGATGCTTTCAGTGTGAAACCGGGGTTAGGCTCCATAGTGTTGAATAACTAAACTACAAAACTTAAAACATGACATGACATTGAACTTTTAAATGTATTTTTCTTCTCTAAGTGAATATATAAAAGTTTATTAGAAGTGTTTGAACCAAGA